ACCACCGCCCTATGCACCTTATAGGCCGATTTCACAGAGAAACGCCCTTTGTTATCAAAGTGCCATCCCAAGATATCTTCCATTTCCATATGGATAGGCAGTGACCTGATTACCTTCACATCTTCTTCCCAGAATGTTTGATTCAATAGCTGCTCATCCCAATTTTCCGTTGCCGGGTCGATCAATTCTTCGACTCTTTGGAGTAAAGTCCTTCCTTTAGGTGTGATCGATCTGCGGGTTATATCTCTGGGTAACCATGGGTCTCCCCTGTTAGCTAATCTACTGCCACCTTGTGTGAAAACACAGCAGAGGAAGGCGGCGCCGACTTTGCCCCCTGCTGTGATACAATGAGCAGAGCAGTGCAGGCGCCAAGACGGCTCACCTGCAAAGATCAGAGGCACATGCAGAGACCGCGCAGAGTTAACCTCAGATGCTTATCTAGTTATCACATAAAGATGTGCGCTGTACTTTTAGTTAGATAGGTAGAGTTGTATAAATAGGGCACCAAGGCAACTCAAAGAAAGAGAGCTCAGATTTGCCATCACACGTATTGGCCTCGGCCAACGTTGTTGTCTTGTATTGTGCGTGCTTGCTCTGTTCTCTCTTCTTCTTCTAGCTCGATCCATAGTGTGTGGGTACGGACACAACCGGTATAGTGGTCTGGAGACTAGTGGTTTGGTCTGGGAGACTAGTGGTCTGGTCTGGGAGACTAGTGGTCTGGGAGACTAGTGGTCTGGAGACTAGTTCACTATCGTCAGACGATGATCCCGTGGGCCAACATCCCCAAATATGAATTCCTGCTCCATTTCCCACCCTCCAGATGACTCCTTCTTTCAGGACTTCCACCCTTTGCATAATGCTCCTCCACGTATACGAACACCCGTCTTTCACCTTGGCCTGCAGCACACTAGTGTTTGGAAAATACTTGGCCTTTAGAATTCTTGCACAAAGAGACTCAGGGGTTTGGATTAATCTCCATCCTTGTTTAGCAAGCATCGCCATGTTAAAAGAATGCAGATCCCGAAACCCCAATCCCCCTTCCTTCTTTGGTTGAGTTAATCTCTCCCAACTTATCCAGTTTATGCTGTTCTCCTTATCTTGGTTGTTCCACCAATATTTAGAAATCATCGCGCTGATTTGACCACAGATTTCTTTTGTTAAATCAAAGCAACCCATAGCAAAGACTGGAATCGCCTGTGCAACTGCCTTAATCATAATTTCCTTTCCAGCTTTCGACAGCAGTTTCTCTTTCCACCCTTGGATTCTTTGCCACACCCTCTCTTTTAAGTATGCAAACACATCTGTTCGAGATCTCCCCACATAAACCGGCAACCCCAGATATTTTTCACTCCTTGTCTCCACCTTTCTTCTTTGATCCTCCCCTGTGTTGCTACTAAACATAACTGCCGACTTGTCTGTATTAATAATTTGGCCGGGACAGTCCTCATAGATCTTCAAAAGCTCCTTCGAATTCTCAGCTTCTTCCTCACTCGCCTTGCACAAGATAAGTGAGTCGTCGGCAAACAGCAAATGTGAAACTGCCGGCGCTCGAGGGGAGATATTCTAGGTGGCCCTCATTGGAAGGATTGACTCAATATTTGCAACCGTGTGATGCACTTGGAAAGGTGGCCTTATCTTAGGAAAATGATCGACACTTCTGGAGGCAAGAGATCAGGGGGTCCTTTTCATCCAAATTCACGTACAAGGCCTTCTTTTGTGGCTCAGTTACCTTTGAGCGAAGGTGACTGTGAAAATCCTGGGCCCCGGCTATATGCAAAGTGCTTTTGCGTCTTACAATTTTGAAACAAATGCTGGACAGCGGATCGTTTAGCCCAAAGAGGTCTTCCTCATCCTGAGCAATGTTTTCTGTGTGACCAAGAGAATGTCCAGCATAGCCTAACTTGGCAATTTTGGCACAATTTGTTAGCACCAGTTGGTCTAGGCACGTTGCTCCAAGGCGCGATCTGATCTAAGCTTCTCGAAATGGTGGAGATATGCAAGCTGTCGGATTGATAAAGCTCAAAGACAGGGTTTAATATTTTATTAATTAATTTAATTAATACCACTATGATTTTTGGGGCCTGGACGGCTGGACCTTATGGAACCATAGGAGCAACAAACAAATGTGCTTTTATGGTGTTTCCCCTTGCCTCTATGGCCTCGTTCGGCACAGCTTAGGTTTACTAGTAAAGCTATTTTTTTGAAAAACAACTTTACAAATAATTTTCTTGGTGAAGTTGAGCTGTTTTGGAAAAAGTGTTTGGCAAAATAGCTTAACCAATAACTTCATGTATGATTGAGGGAGAGAGCTAGGATAAACTACTATTTTCAGTTCCATCCAACTCATGTCTTTGTGAGAGAAGAAAAACAGCTTCGCCCATAAAGTTGTTTTGGAAATGAGTGTTTGGCAAAAAAAAAAAACAGCTCACATGAAGCTGTTGTGAAGTGCCTGCACGGCATTCTTCGAGGAGTTGAGACTTTGGAGCCTTGCTGGAGCGAAAGAGTTGTGACGAGGCCATGAGGGTTAGCTTGACTAACCTTTGTCCGGTCATTTTTAGTTTTTTTCGGGTGATTTTTCTTAGCTTGTGGTCCAGTCCCTCTGATCTCGCTCCTAGATGAGTTCGATACTCTGATCTCATGAGATAGACCATATTTTTTTCTCTTTTGTGTGAATCACAATACAAACGGACACTTATATGTGTAGGTACACTCACCTATGAAGTATGAATGCGTACATATACATCCTACCCTATAGGCAACCTTTGAAAGATGATTGATAGTGAGCCAACAAATCTCAATAATAACGAAGTCACGATAGACACGCACACTCTACCTCATAAGAGCATCTTTGAAAGGCTAAGACTAAGCAGCCGACATATCTTGAGATTGATGATGTCACCATAAATGTCTCGCTATCGATGGACATGTCATCTATCACGAAAAAACAACACCATTTGAATCCTGAAATTCATTAAGTAGAAAAACATCAGAGGCATATATTATAGTCATACAGGATAAAGAATGAATATTTCCTCAATAAATTTTAGAAGTGCGAAAATAGCAGTGTTTAGTGTAGCTGGAGCATCATTTGTGACAATAACAGAACACGAACAATAATAATTAATAATATCATAGCATTGCACCCTTGTGGGAAAGCTATAGTTGGCTATATAATTAGAGGATAACACATGAGACACAGATTCATAGTGACAGAGACAGAGAGTGTCGTACGTCTAGTGTATGATGATGCTTATATTCCTCGTGTGTCGTATGCTGGTATGCGTTGGAATTGTTGGGTGATGCTAGAATGCTCAAATGACAACCCAGGAGCTCTTTACCCCTTCTTAGATAGTCTGGGACTCTGGGGTTAGGTTATAGAGAATCATATCTTGATCTACTTACAAATATGTTTCCTATTTAGTTACAATAGAGTGCTTATCTAGTAAGTTTTTATGTATATCTACTTATGCATTATCGACTAATGTAGAATCTAGCTCTGGCCAGTTAGTCGAGCCCACCCTATCCTGGGAGCCAGTTTTGGCCTCGATGAGGATACCCATGGCCTATGTACTCATCAATAGCCCCAAACCTCCATGCGATTTGGAGAACTGGATGGAGATTTAACCCTAGTTTTATGATCCCTAGGTGCACAATAAATGTATCTACTGGGGATGTAGGCCTGGCCGTTCTTCGACTTGTAAAGTCAGGAGGAGGATCTTCTATTGTAACTTTCGAGTAGTTAGTGATCCTAGAGTCATCCTTCACGAAGTGTATTGAGTGGTTTTCTAACATCGGCTCGATAATTGACCCGAGAGGTCTACCAAGTGGCCATCATTACCGGATTAGATGAGTCGAATGGTTCCAAGCCTTGTTGGCTATCATGCGATCGGGTAGATCTTGAAGTCCCATGCCTTAGATCAAAATATATGCCTTGATTGGACATGATGAATTCGTTAAGCACCTTGGACGCAGCCCTCAAGCTTAGCAGATGAGCATAGTGTCTGAGTTCCTGTTGTGTAGAGAATTCACCGTGCGAATAACCTAGTGTTTCACTACTTAGATGCTCCATCTAATCGAAGTATGTCGTGAAATACGAAGATGGTCATCGGATAGTTATTTAGTAGCCTAAATAAGATAAGCATGTATCACAAAATATTTCCTTTTTCTTTTCTGTACTATTATTGTGTTGTGCTTTTTGCCGAAAGCTGATTAATTGTTGCCGTATATCACCCTCGATCTCAAATTATATGTTTTTTTTTTTTTGCTTTTCTAGCCTAGATATACGATATAGTTAGATATATAATAAAATAATGTATATAGAAAAATAAAATTAAAACAATCTATAAATTAGAACAAAAGACGTTGTGAAGACTCAAGAATAAAAGATTACTCTACGCAGAATATTATATTTAATATGTTTTCATTTAAATTTTTGACCGAGGAAGACTCGAATTCGATTCGATTCGGACACTTTTCCAACCCCATGTCCCCATCACACGTTCCCAGAATAAAAAACCACCCCGCCAGATCATCACCGTCCACCAGAAAACCACACCCAAACCACCCACTCTCCTGCGGGCCCCACAAAATCTCTACCCCACCTGTCCGCCAGTCCAATGCCGCCCCTCCACCCCGACGCTAGCGCCTCCCCCACGTCACCACCTGACCAGGAAGCCAACCGAGCAACCGAAACGAAACGGGCATCCGCCCCCCTTGTCTGTCGTGTGTCGTCTCCGCATTTCCGCACCCCTGTGTTTTCAAACTCGTACGAGACCAGCGAACCTCCACTTGTTATCCAGCCGACCGTACCCCGCTGCCGTCGCGCGCCGGCATTTGCCCCTGCCCCGGCGCCGACGCCCTGCACCTGCAGCTCGATAGCTCTGCTGCTTCCTCGCCATCTCTGACTCCGCGGCGAGCCAGCCCCCCGTCGGCTAGCGGACGCGGGAGGGCGGCGGTGCCGGTGAGGTGTCGTGCCAGGGAGGAGAAGGAGAAGGAGCGGGATGGGGTTCTGGGTGGGGCTGGTATTGGGGGTCGCGGTGGGAGTAGCCATCATCGTCGGCTTCGCTCGCTGCGAGAACTCGCGCGCCGCCCGCCGCCGAAAGCTGGTACGTACGCGTTTCTCACCCCCTGACCTCGGCCGGCTCCGTCCTCGATTCCTCGAATATAATCGACGCGTGCTGCTTACGATAGGAATATGGGATTCGTGGTAGTAGCTCTTAAGAAATCACGTTGCGTATGAATCGAATCGAAGCGAAGACGAACCGCTTCCCTTTCCCTTCCCTTGGTTAGGTTGGGGGGCGTTGGGCTCTACTGTCGGCATGCTTTTCCACTGGTCTCGGATAGTAGATTTGGCCTTGCTGGTGCGCCGGAAAGGCCCAGGTGGTCCCTTTCCCTTTTGGGCTCACTATGTACACAGATGCTTTGACGCCTTGTTGCGATGGGAGTTCAATTACTTGAGGGGTAGCAATCCTTGAATCCTAAGCAGGAGATAGCACGAAGCAAGGTGTTTGGTTTAGGTACTGCAATGCTGGACTGCAGGCCATTTGCCTGTTTCGGTGCTTGTTTCCATGGTTGATAGCATGTGCAAGCTCGTTGTTCGTGGTCACACCCTCTCAATGTGCAAGTTTGCATATGATAAGTTGACAACCACTGAACCACATGCAACAGTTAGCCTACTTTTTGCCCTAGGCCTGTGGTTTGTCCTGATCTTCTCATGGTTTCCATTTCACTAATTTCCATCCATGCGGTTGATTCTGTATATATCTCAAACCTGGAATGGTCCACTTGGTGGGTCTTTTGTCCAGATTGCAGCCATTCCAGATACTAAGAGTGGTCTTCTCTGTTTTTGATGCAGGCTGCTACCATTGCTAGTTTCTCAAAAATGACGATTGAGGATTCGCGAAAGTTACTCCCCGCCGACCTATACCCTTCTTGGGTTGTTTTCTCATCGCAGCAAAAGGTATTTGGCTGTCTTTAGTTAGTTCTAATTCTTCTGCACTATATGTTGATGCATGTATGTTGACGACGCAATATTGCAGTTAAAATGGCTTAATCAGGAGCTGACAAAGATTTGGCCGTTTGTAAATGATGTATGCTTTCTTGCAACAGAACTTCAAATCTTGGACTCAACTTTATCTCTGTTTGACTTGACTTCCATTATGTACAATCTTATTGTATACGCATTTTTTTATTTGACATTCATCATTGCAGGCGGCATCAGAACTGATCAAAACCTCTGTAGAGCCTGTTCTTGAACAATATAGGCCAATAATCCTAGCATCCCTGAAGTTCTCAAAACTCACTCTTGGTACTGTTGCACCACAGTTTACCGGTAGGTTTCTTCAAAGTTCAAACTCCTCCCTTCATTAATTTCCATCACTGTCATACTAGCATTTTCCATCACTGTCATACTAGTATTTGATTTACTTCTATATGATCGAACCAAAGTGTGAGATTTTTAATTTGAGACTATGCCACATAGGACTGCACCTCATGTTATAGAAATCCACATAGGACAGTACTGTGTATACTTTTATCTGATGACAATTACTACTGTATATTCCCCAGTTTTTTGGATTACAAAAGTATAACTCACAATTCGGGATGCATACATCCATTAAACTTGACAAACATCTAGATAGGTGCACACCAGGATTTCAACCCTGGTGCATGAGTCATGCACCCATGACTCCACCACCATCACTGATGGTGCTTTTGCCCATGACACTAGGGCGTGTCCAAAGGCTAGCTACATAGTAGATAAGTCTGATGTGGAAGAGTGAAGAACATGAGAGAGAATGCTTGCTAGCGAGTAGCGATGAACAAATAGCTAGGCTATTTCACTTAGATCGTGGAGACAAGAATGTGAGAGAAGAGATAGATGCTGGGTAATAATGAGAAGAGAGTATAAAATAATATTTCTTACTTTCTCTTGTGTCCAATTGAGCTGGCTAGTGGCTACGTAGCAGGCTCCATTTTTGGACGCCCTAAATTTAACTGTTTAGTTGTTACAGAACTGTTATCCTATAAAAGTTCATGAATTCGATTTTCTTTGCTTTGAACAAAAGTGCATTCAAACAAGACACAACAGATCAAGCTATTGCATTTATACTCTAGTTAGTGATTGCTGAAGTCTTTGAAATAAAACAAGAATCAGAAGGGTTTGATGGTCCATTGTGTGAAAATTCCCTTTAGTTCTTTTAGATGTATAATACGCTGTCAATAAACTGGACTGGAACCTACGATAAAGGGGCAGTCGAGTGCCCTTGTTATAGTTCATAGGGTATGGTTACTTCTGCAACCCGTTCATTTTGTAATGCAAAAGTATATAGAAATAATATGTTGTGTTATGGTGAGTTTGCAGCAGTCTTCAATTTCGTGGTTTGTGTTATTTGATTTTCATTTTCTATCTAGGCTCATCAAAGATGTGGTATAAGTTCCTCATTACCTGGTATGTTGCTGGTGCAGGTATTTCCATCCTTGAGAATACTAAGGAATCAGGTATTGTCATGGAGCTAGAGATGAATTGGGATGCCAATCCAAGTATCATACTTGCTGTAAAAACTAGACTTGGTGTCGCGCTTCCAATACAGGTGAGATATTTCACGGCTATGCCCTGGTCCTTTAATATAAATGCCACCATATGAGGATGCATTAAATGCATCAGTTATGCCTACCTCACACAGTTGACCATTATGGCTATCCAGTTGGAATAATTTGTTGGACTTCATGTGCTTGTGCTAAGAAAGATGAAATTTACATCACAGCTATTCTCTGGTTTACTCATAATGATTTTTTTCCCCACATTTGTATATGGTATCACGAATAGAGTGATGTCCATGTCAAAATTTGAAAGTGGATGCACCATAATCTGCGTGAGTGGTCTTGCCATATAGGTGAAGGACATTGGCTTTACAGGAGTTTTCCGCTTGATTTTCAAACCACTAGTTGAAGAGCTACCTTGCTTTGGAGCTGTTTGCTTTTCTCTACGACAGAAGGTTTCTTTTCTCCCTTTTTTCTTTGTTTTTTCTGACATGTGTTGCCTTAATCTCATTTATTTTTCTCAAATCGTGTGGCATGTCAGAAAAAGCTGGATTTCAGACTGAAGGTCATTGGTGGCGAAATTTCTTCTGTACCTGGAATTTCAGATGCTCTTGAGGTTTGTCAATACATTAATATTTGTAGCAGATAATTGGGTGTTGTGTTCCCTATACTTGAGATGGTGTAATTATCCTTTTGTGCAGGACACTATAAAAAATGCTATTGAAGATTCAATTACATGGCCAGTAAGGAAAGTCATTCCTATTATACCTGGGGATTACAGGTAATCTGATTCGTGGATACTAATGTCATTCTAGCCTGTATATTGTTAAATCACATAGGAAAGATCATAACTGATTATATATACAGTGATCTGGAACTGAAGCCTGTTGGTACCTTGGAAGTCAAGCTTGTGCAGGCAAGAGATTTGACAAACAAAGATCTGATAGGAAAATCGGATCCTTTTGCCATTGTATATGTGCGTCCATTACCAGACAAAATGAAGAGAAGTAAAATAATTGTAAGTTTAGTTGCTTGTTTGTGAGCTCTGTCTTTTGGAGTTATTTCTAACCGCTTTATTCAACTACTTTACAGAACAATGATCTGAACCCTATCTGGAATGAACACTTTGAGTTTACTGTTGAAGATGCTGATACTCAGAGTGTAACCGTGAAGATTTATGATGATGATGGCATTCAAGAATCTGAATTGATTGGCTGTGCTCAAGTCAGGCTGAAGGATCTACAACCAGGCAAAGTGAAGGATGTCTGGTTAAAACTTGTAAAAGATCTGGAGATTCAAAGGGACAGGAAAGATCGGGGTCAGGTGAGCCTGATTTTCATGAAAGCAGCCCTGCTAACTTTTCCTTTCCCTGACCCTAGAAACTTGTCTTATTTCTTTTTCTTTTTGAGGAACAAGCTTTACCATGCCTTGTTATCATCCATCAGGGGTGTTGTCATAGAGGTAACATAATATTTTCCTCGTGGCATACATGATTAAAACAGGTGCACCTTGAGCTGCTCTACTGTCCATTTGACATGAAGGAAGAGGCACCAAATCCTTTCAGCCAACAGTTTTCGATGACTTCATTGGAGAGAACAATGACAAACATGGAAAATGGATCAGGGGGCTCTAGTTTTGATAGGCTGTCTTCTAGAAAGAAAAGAGAAATTATCATACGAGGAGTCCTTTCAGTAACAGTGATATCTGGGGAGGATCTGCCTGCGATGGATATGAATGGAAAATCTGACCCATATGTAGTACTTTCTCTCAAGAAGACAAAGACAAAGTACAAGACAAGGGTAATTTCTTCATCAAATACAAATTACTTAGTGATGTGTACATATCTCCGAGTCGTATTGAACTGCTATGTCTAAACATGATTAGTCAATTTTTTTTATGGACTCACAAAGATGACATCAGTTTGGTTAGCTACATATTGTGTTTAATTCTATTTATAATTCGATCAGTAGAGAACCATAATAGTGCTATGCTCAGAAAATGCTTGGACAAAGCAAGTCTTTAACTGCCCCTATGATGTGACTGACCACAGGTTGTGAACGAAAGCTTGAACCCAGTATGGAATCAGACTTTTGATTTTGTCGTTGAAGATGGCTTACATGACATGCTTATGCTGGAAGTATATGACCATGACACTTTTCGTAGAGTAAGTTCAACTGGAGCTTTCATATGCTTACCAGCGGAGTAGTTTGTCTACTGCAAATGTAAGGTAACCGCCGAATATGCTTTGTGTAGGATTACATGGGGCGGTGCATCCTGACCTTGACAAAAGTTTTGCTGGAAGAAGAGTACAAGGAAAGCTTCAACCTGGAGGGAGCAAAGAGTGGGAAGCTGAACTTGCATCTGAAGTGGTCGCCACAACCAATCATGCGTGATTCCCGAGAAGCAGATAGCTTAAGGTTCAGATAAGCGCAGTAAGTGTGCACGTCTGGCTGCTGTCCATGGTGTTTTGGGGGTTCTGACTCGGCCTTGAGACCTGCTTGGTTGAGCGTTTGCGGCTTTTTCAGGTGCAAATTTATCCGTTGCACATATGCATGCGGCTTTTTCAGGTGCAAATTGATCCGTTGCACATATACATGCGGCTGCTATGTTTCGATCGGTTAAGCTGTCGGCGCATCGCAATGGTTTGTCTGTATCCTCCTTGTAATGCCATATTCATAGTAGAAAAATGTGTAAATCAGGAATCTAGTGGAAACAAAATTAGCAGTTGACGCAATCACAGTCACGGATGGTTGCTCCCATCAAGCTCACCATGGTTAATGTACGCTGACGCTCCAATGTCGTGCTGTCGTGCACTGCACTGTGTCGAAAGATGCTTCGACTGGAGTTGCTTTCCGCAACTGTATGTTGGGACGACGCATGCGAACTCTGCTGTCAGATTGTGACGTCGGAGCGCGAGGAAAATGATGTACACACTTGCGTTTCACGTGCAGCGTGTGAGTACTGTCGTTAGAAAGGGAAGGAACAAAAAGACAGTCGCTCGAGATTTCTGATATAGGTGTGGTAGTGCCCATCTGAGATTGGCTAAAAATGAAAGTACATATCTTGGTGCCAGAATTTCATATTTTCATGCAACGTCAAATGGGAAGTCTGAAAGGGGGTCCGTCAGGTTCCCTTGCTCCAACTTCTCTACCGCAATTACAAATACGGAGTAGATCAGAAAATACACGAAAAGCACACAAATCACACGCGGACCATTGTACGTAGCAGGCATCCAATTCGTCCCATCTCTTAGCGCAGCATGCGTGCCTCGTCGCACAAAACAAAGATCCTAATAAAAGGCCAAAACCTGGGTGTCCCATCCCATCAGTTCCTGACATATGGCGGCTGCAACATGCAATAGACTAGTCTCTCCAAGAAACTCCGGTCAACGGAGGGACACGGACTCACTAAAGCAGCCAAACACCATTTCCTAACCAACTAGCATATGAAAGACATCGCAGCCAAAAAAAGCCCAAAGCTCACGAAAGATTCTCACATTTGGAGCTGGACGGAGGCTTTCAGACCCGGACAGGAGGCGCATGAGCATCCCAGAGTTTCCATCTTCGGCGGATTCGTTTGGACACTTTTTGGAGCTGGACGGAGGCTTTCAGACCCGGACAGGAGGCGCACGAGCATCCCAGAGTTTCCATCTTCGGCGGATTCGTTTGGAGCTTTTGACGCCATCGCCCGGGACAAAACGCTCAGGGCTCCGCCTCCGCGGGCATCCTTCCCTTGCTCCTCCCGCCCCGCGGCCCGCGCCAACGAAACGAGTTCCAGGCGCAGGGGCGGGCACGGAGCACGCGTCTCCGCACCTGGCGAGGCTGTTCGCCAGCTTCTGTTTCTAGCATGTCACAAAAGCTGATACTGAAGTAAGAACTTTTTACCTGACCCCTCTTGACTTTTTTTCTTAAAAAAAATAGCTGATATGATGGGATTCAGGTATCTCAAAATATAACGGGCTGCAAGTAACAGTACTCCCTTTGTCAAGTACCGTTCTCATTTTCCGAGGAGTTAAACACTTTTAACTTTGAGTAAATATATATATATATATGATATTAATATTTATAGTATATAATTAGTATCATTAGATATATCATTAAATCTATTTTTATAATAAACTTATTTAAAAATATAAATGTTGTTAATATTTTTTTATAAATCTAGTTAAATTTTAAAAAAATTGATAGGCACGAATAGCATAGCGACACTTATTTTGAAATGGAGGGAGTATGTTGCTTGCGCAGATAAATAAAGAACCTTTCTCTCATTTTTTTTCAATCTCCACAAGCTAAAATTAAGCACGGAGGGAGTATCATTCAGATTTGGCATGAGTATTTTATATAATAATAGATTATTACACATGGTAGGGGCCTAGCAAATTTAAGAAAGTTTGACAAGCACACTTATTTTGGACGGAGAGAGTACGTTGCTTGCGCAGATAAATAAAGAACTTTCTCTCTCTTTTTTCAATCTCCACGAGCTAAAATTAAGCACGGATCGAGTGAGTATCATTCAGATTTGGCACGAATATTTTATATAAAATAGATTATTATTACACATAGTAGGGGCCCTGGCCCCTTCAGACTTTTTTATAAAAAAAATGCTGATACAGATGCGATTCAGATTTGGCGTCTCAAAATATAACGGGCTGCAAGTAACACTATGTTGCTTGCGCAGATAAATAAAGAACCTTTTCTCTCTCTTTTTTTTTTCTTCCCAAAACTCCAGAAAGGAGCCGTGCAAATTGCTGACGCAATGCCAAATTATTCCCAACACACGTGATTAGCTCATGCCATACGTCCATGTCTGTGAACCATGATCATCGTGGCACGTACTGGTACATGAACAGAACAGACTGGGCATCGGCTGGACGCCTCCTCGTTGGCATGTACCCCAACTGGCTGGCGCCAAAGTTACGGTCCACAATCATACAATGCTTGCGATGCGCACCGGCAATATTCTTTCTCGACACGGTGCTTAACTGGAGCAGTATATGTATAGTAGTAAACAAACAGGCTCATGCGTCACCCCTTTCCCTTTGGAAGCTACTCCTAGTTGATTTGAGCTGGTACTAGTAAGTCTTTTTTTGTAACAAAACCTAGGGTCTTTATATGGGAGTATCCAATGCGTTGTTCTCTTGTGAGAGCACTTGTTATGTTTGGCAACAGAATAGTAAAGTACGGAGTAGTACCCACTTTGCGATCAGCTATGCTACTTATATTAGTACAAAATAACGAAGCAGCACCGATGCACATGGCATCACTCTTGACGCACATTCCACACACAAGAGAAGGCGAAAATATCTTCCTCCCTCTCTCTTAAAAAAGTGCACATATCTTGGTGTTTGCAGAGGGAAACAAAGTGTAAATATCTCAGTTTATATACCAGTGAAAATGCTAAGATGATTGACGGACCATGGTCCTAGGATTCCCGTGGAGGTACTACCCGTATAGGCCCTGGGATGGCCCACGATCTGTTGAAGGACGCGGGACAAAGTGATGTGGACTTTAAGCTATTCCAAATCAACTTAGTCGGTTTACTATGAAAGCTAGATGTTGTAATAGGATTATGACTCTTCTCTTGTAACCGACTAGAACTAGATACGTGTCCTTACCCTCTCTCTTGTATAAAGAGAGGGACAACGCATCCCCATGTAACCCTAACAATCATACAATCAATCCAACGCAAAAGGCTACACACCGACTCGATGTAAAGACTATTACTCGGAAAGAGGGCCCGAACCAGTATAAATCGTTCATCTCTTTGCGTTTATTGTCGAGTTCTCAGTCGCCAAAGCCCTTCGAACATCATCCCGGGTAACCCCGTGATGAGTTGCCGGTCATCAAACACCGACAACTGGCGCGCCATATAGGGGTTTTCGGTGACTTCGAGCTCGGCGGACCTCGACGACATAATTTTTTCGGCGGGAATCACCTTCATCTTCGGCTCCTGGATCTGAAAGGCAGACGACAACGACAAGCTCCAAAGTCGTCTCATGAAGATCCTGGCACCTCAAGCTTCACCAGATGTCTCGACGACCACGCTGGATCAACTCACCGAGAAGTTTTTGCACCTCTCAATTTCAGATTCAACTCAAACTCAGGAGGTCACCATCAACCATGACTCCCGCTCGAACATGTCACCTTTGTCTGAGGCGGAGACCCCATCTAAAGTCCAACTCGAAGACCCTGTTCGTTTTCCACTCGGACTCAAGAATTCAACTTCAATCTATCAAGATACGATCAGCTACCTCGTGTAATCTGAGCAAGAGATCCCTCTTGCGGGTGCCCAGAGAGGATTGGTTCTATCCATCATACCCGAAGGAGGCATTGTCTATTGGCCAGGTGCTCGACCCGACACTTCTTTAACAGATCCATCTCGTCTAGTCGGCATGGTGGAGCTCTTGCCTTATCAGGATGACAGCACTCTTCCAGCAGACAACAATGATCACGATACTACAGAGATCTTGATATTGCGATGACTACAGAATCTAGAACTCACTCGCCCACGAGGCACTCTAGAGAAGTCTTTATGGTTGGGCAACCACCCCGGATCCCTGTGCCTAACCCACCAGATATCCAAGATGGAGAGGAAGCCTTGTCCGACATCTCCCCGTACATTGCGCCACCTAACGGAGAAACCAATGAGCAAAGGATGGCTAGGGAAAAGAAAAACAGAGCTCGACAGGCTCGGTGCAACCACACCCAACACCACAGGGAAGAGTGGCAGCGGTATCAATTGGCTTGTTGAGACGTTGAACGACGATGCTTGGCTGCAGAGGTAGCATATGAACAGTGTCTACGAGATGAAGAAGAACGGCAGTGCCAAGACCGTGACGCCGTCAGAGCATCCGTATCATGCAACCTTGAGCCTGAGTTCATAGAAATAGCTAGCCATAGGGTCTTTACCATGCCCTACGCTAACGTCTACTCCTTGATAGAAGAGATGGCAGCCATAGAAAACCCTACTCCAGATCAGCAACGACTCAAAGTCATTTTGAAATCAACAGCCCTTCAAATGCAGGCTGCAAAAGCAACATCTCAAACTAACCCTTCCCGAGGACCAGAGGCGCGGGCACCAGTCCACTCTCATCTTGGACCGTAGGGTAACCAAGGAGGAGAATAACGAGTACCAGCCCACTCCCATCTAGTGCTGCAGGGTAACCAGAATAGGAATCAGGGTGCCACGCAGTCAGCCTATCATGGGCACCAGTACAGTAACCGGGAAGGCAGAGGAGAGTCCGAGTACAGAGAGGCCGGTATCCTACCGGACAGGTTCCCATATTTCTCTGATAGACTACTCTCTGTCTGGCTTCCCTACAAGTTTAAGCCATCCAACCATACTAAGTACGACGGGAAGACAGAACCCAACCAATGGTTGCGCATCTATTCTCAATCCATCGAGTTGGCAGACAGAGATGACAACAT